CCTACCCTAAGAAAAGGCAGGTCCTGGGGTTCTTGATGCCTGCTGCAAGCAGGAGTTAGACCAATAGAAGTGGCTGGAATGAGAGCAATACCTACCCTGGAAGCAAAAGAATAAGAAGAAAACCACTTAGATTTATTAGAAGGATAAAATGAAATGGATTTAGGTTTCCCCGTCCATGCTGGAACAGAGCCTCATTCCTGGCTAAATTCTAAAAGTTTTGCTCAAGGGGCTTTGCTATAAAAAAGAGCCATGAAAAACTTGATGGCAAATCCCCCCTTCGTCCAAAGCCAGGAAAGGAACCAAAGGACAAGTCTGGTGGCTGTGGTAGACTCTACATGAATAAATAAATAAATAAAATTATTGCCTTTTCCTATTGGCTTATTAGATTTTTGTATTACATTAGCCAACACATTGTTCTTTGTGGCGACAACACAGGAAAGGAAATAGAACACAAGGTTTGTGGTAGCCAGAGAGCTTCACAAAAGCCTCAAGCCAAAAGCCTCCAGGAAAACTTTTCCTGGGGTTTTTATTTCTCTCCTTACTTTGTTTACAACACTTCTTAGTGGTTACATTCTTGCGCATAGAAAAGGCATGCAGTGTACATCAACATGAGATAACAAACCCATCTCTTGTGCACGTGAACACCAGCTGCTAGGGTAATGATCAAATCAGCCAAATAAGTTTCCCAAACACAGACGCTGGGTTGAAGGTCACTCCTGCCTCGTTGCCATGGGAGCAGTTTGCCGCGCCCGTGGGCTGGCGATTCGGGAGCTATGCATTCCTACAGTTCTTAAATATTTGTCACACAGGAGCAGTACCATACTTTTGTAACTAACTTTCTTCAAGGCACAGCTAATACTGGAAATCTAGTGGGACACAGAACAGGAATAAGATGGTAGCCTGACAAAACTGTTGCACCTTGACTGGCGCTTTTCTATTGCTATGGAAGCCAAATATCCAGAGTCTCAGACTGATGTGACAGCGCCACAGAAAGTCTCTGCATTACTATAATCAGAGAGCTCAACCCAATGAGTATCTATAGGTCTTAAAGTTGTGTGTCTGCCAGTCCCCCTATTCTTGAACACTTAGAATCAAAGTGGTGGCAGGGAAACCTCTCAAGTGGCTGCAAACCCTCCATGCTGCAATCTCTCTCTTTTCTGAGTGGGCTCTGAGTGTAGCTTTGCAGTGCTTACCCTCACTTGCTCATACACAACTCCTCCCGTAGGCCAGTGAGGAGCCCGACTCATATCTTTACCATGCTTACCCATGCTCCCAAATGACAAGCCAAAATCACTGTGCCCTAGTCTCATGCCTATTAGGGTATGTTTACACTGCAAGTGGAGGCCTGATTGTAGCATGTATAGGCATACCCAAGATAGCTTTAATATAACTAGCATGGGGAACAGTAGAGAAGATGTAAGAGCACAGACTTCAACAAGGGCTAGCCATCCAAATACAAGCCCACTGTGGACCCTGGGTATGTCACACAGGTTTTTAGCCCAGGCCGTGCCCTACGTACGTACTCAGGTTGTTAGCCCATATCATGCTGTTGTGCTAGTGATTAAAACAATGCCTTCCCATTCAACAGTTGCACCTTCATTTCCGGTATAGGACATACTCTTAACATAACCCAGCCCTGGTTATACTGTTTTGCTGTTTGAAAGGTTTGGATACAGTGAAGAAAACAACAACTCCTCCAACTGCTTTACATTGCACTTTGCTTGCTCATTTAAAATAAGCAGCTGCTCTGACTAATTGTCCAGGATCAAATGAATGTTTGTAGAACAGTCTTTTGCTGTGAAGTAACTTTATATTTATTGGATGGGTGACAATGAAGTTCTTTGCCCCTGCTGCTTCAATATCCTATTCTGCAGGAGGTAGATATGGGCTTGTAGGCAGAAGGTCAGAGATCTGGCTTCCACATTCAGCTGAGTTATTCATCTGAAAACTTGGCTAGGTTGCAGAACCACTGTGGGTCAAATCCCTGGGTGCGGAGACATCTTTATAAATACCACTCTCCTTCCCTGACAGAACATTAAGCCTGATTTATCAGAGCCAATCCTCCATTTACATTTATGGATGCTATTTTTGGTTTCTCAGAGCTGTGAGCTGAAACAGTGCTGCACATCCCCTTAACTTTAGGTGTAGAATCTTTGCAGGGAAAGCTATTACAGTATACACGATTGCAAATCCAGCCTCTAATATAAAAATGTAAATATGATTTCTAATAGATCTCCTTAGAAATAGGGATACTATGCTCTGAGTCTTCCAGCAACCTTGACCACCAGGCTGGAATTTAACCAACTCTTCTTTAGATATGGAGGGCAGAGGTCTGCAGGGTCTCAGGCAATCTTACAATAGGTGAGGCCAAGGTGTCATCTATTTCAAGTTCTGGGATACAGCTGATAGTTTGCTTAAGACTAGAAGATAGAACTTACATATGTTTGCTCTGGTCTGACTGTGGCACAGGAGAAAGGAAGCATGAAAATTAACTTCCTTTCTTCTTCTAACACTGATCCTTATGAATGTAAAAATATTAGTCTCTTTGTGCCGTTCAATGAGATTAATGAACCTCCCCTCACCCGTTCTATCATCACCACTTCATCTCTTCTCTTCTGCTTCTACTCACAACCATTCCCCCACATCATAGACTTAGAAAAGACCTTATTTTAACATTGGCAAAACACCTTAACACTTCCTGTGCACTGCGCCAGCCTGGCATTCTCTAGACAATAGATCTGTGGTTAGGAATACGTTCTAGAGGCATTTATTAGAGCATTTTAGTTATATTTACAAACCAGAGATTTTCCTAAAGGAATATCAGTTTGAGCAGTGTATCACTCAAAACTGTGGTTGTTAATAACTGTTGCAATATGTTAGAAGCACTGAGAAGCATCAAAAGCACATCACCACCATAGCTTTTCTGCTCACCCTCTACAGTGCAATATCTTTGTATGTGGGAGAATACTATTTTCTATAGTTCTTATGTAAATACAGCAGTAATAATAGAGCTGCAGTTGAGGAAGAGAAAGTTGGGGGTTTAGACTCAGTAGCTGTTGAGTTTAAGAAGCCTGCAAAATTCTACAGTTGACACAAAAAGATTTGGGGGGAGGGATAGCTCAGTGGTTTGAGCACTAGCCTCCTAAATCCAGGGTTGTGAGTTCAATCCTTGAGGGGGCCATTTAGGGATTTAGTTGGGGATTGGTCCTGCTTTGAGCAAGGGGTTGGATTAGTTGACCTTCTAAGGTCCCTTCCAACCCTGATATTCTATGATTCATAAAATTTCAGCCAAGTATATATTTACACATCTGGTAAAACCAAGGCCCAGCTCCTTAGCTGGTAGATCTGGACCTATATGTCTGACTTGAGTGCACCTTTTTAGTATTTTTCATTCCAGTCTTTGATGATCTGGCAACTATTAATAATGATACCACATAATGTAGAACTAATATAAAAAATAAAATGAGATGCAACCTGGAAAAATAATATGCTGATAACATCTGCAGAAGGGAGTGGGGAGGGGAACCAACAGAAACAAAATGTATACGTGGATGAGAGATACCTGGGAGAAAAGTTCTGCTAAGAAAAACCTACAGCAAACTAAATATGAATTTATACAATGTAATGGTTTTAAAAAAAAAAAAAAAAGCCATCCCCAGGCTATGGAAGTATCACAGACTAGACCAGAGAGGTCAGTCCTCCTTTACTTGGCACTTTGGAGACCAAACTCAGAAAACATTTCTGGATGCTAACAAAATAAGTCTGTTCCATCTCTAATTTCCATTGCTCTGTAAGAAATACTCAGCCTAATAACTATTCTTTTCTGCATTTCTATGTCCTAGGAAGAAGGAAGATGTGGGTATTGACTGCATGAAACAGAAGTTGTAGTTTTTAATTTCTTATTTACACAGAAAAACGATCACATTTGATTGACAATACTGGATTTGTGTGGATGTTATGTTAGTGAAGAGATGCAAAAGAAATTGCCATAGGCACAAGGAAACATCCCTTTTATTATAGAGAGGCTAGCTAGTATACAGAGTAGATTCAATGAGAAGTATGTACAATCGGCTTATTGTCAAACAGATGAATGATTAAAAATTCTTCAAAATCAGTCAAGAATTAAAAGAAAGTGAACAGCCAGTAGGATCAGAAGTCCAGGCAGCCCACCTCAAAAATAAATTCAGTTCTGGAATGTAAATGGTTATGAGGCCAACACTGGAAAACACTAGAATTACCCTGCAGAAAACAATGGAATTTTGCTACGTATCAGTATCAGCAACTGGTCCAATCAAGGTATTGCCTGGTCTGATCTTAGAGTGACTGAACCACGAAACAAAATAACAAGGGCTAGACTGGGATCTGCTCTTGCAAAAGTGTGCGGGGAGGGTCATTTTAAAAAGCCTTTCCCTCATTTCATGACCTGCACAAGGACAGATCACAATAGCGGTCTCTGAACAGGGGCTGTTTGGTCATTGTTCAGAAAAAGGCAGGGAGGAGGTAGGACCACAGACCTGCCCACACTCTGCATGAGCCTGTAGAGTGGAGTCAGTGCACTGAAATCTGCATTGTCCTAATGAATAGTGCAGTGTGAGCACTCCTGGTCAGTTTTAGAAGAGATCATGCTCCTTGAAGGACAATTTCTCCTGAGGCTCCCCCAGGGGTGGTGCAGCTCCACAAGGTCCCTTTGCACAAGGCTTTGCACCCCAACATGCTTTGACATCCAAAAAGTGCCAGAGATGACACTTGAGAAGAGATGAGAGGTAGAAACATGTCCATTCATATAGTATAGATGATTATCTTTAAGTTAACAATTTTTAAAAATAGAACTCTCAACAAAAAAGTTACATGTGCAAGAGGCACTTTTTGGGGAAAAGAGTACCTCACACAAACATACACAGCAGGATCAGCACAGATGGGTGAGTCCCACTAGAATGAATTCTAATGCAAACAGTTGTCATACAAAGGAGTCCCATATTCCCATATGATGCATATGCTGCATCCCTTTGATGCATATAGGATATTCAGAAGAGATTTCTGAAAATGTTAGGAGAAATTACATGCACGTTTTCCCCATAGGCTGGAAGAATTTATCCCCGTATTCGTATAACTTAATTCACACTCCAAAACCTTGCTCTATTTACAGGCACACTCCCATAGAAACTTTCACATTTTGGATACCAAGGAGGCATCTTTAGTCACCAAGCCATGTGATTTTAAAAGCACGGGTATTTTTTGAGGTTGCTAAAAGGGGAGGGGCTGTATAGGCAGGAAGGGAATATCAGCAGAACGGTGGCAGCTATGTTTACTTATTTATTTTGAAGAGAAGAGTGGCTGCAGGGTACAGAGCAGGTATACTTTAGAACATGGACCTGACTTGCCACAGTTTTGGGAGCTAAGCAACCTTGCTTTCCCATGCTCATTCCCCTCAACTAAATGTTTGTGATGAACCTGGTTAGCGAGAACATCATCGCTTACTCCTGTTCCTTTAGAGATCATTCGCTTCAGCACAATATTTTGTTAGCTTTTTTGGAGTAAAGTGGAATGTCAGTTTTTTGGGACTGACAGACTACATTTTGTACAATACATTCTAAAGGTGGAAAATGGGCATTTCAGAAACTTGTTTCTACTGATCTGGAAGCTTTGTAGATAAAAAAGGAAATTTACACCTGACATACACAAAAGTTCTAAATTCTCTAGCACTGCATGTCAAAATGAGGTGAATAAAAGCTACTGTATGATTCTTGTCACCTTAACACTAACTCCCCCTTCCCCCCCAAAAAAGTTCCTGAAACCAATTCAACATATTGTTTCAGTTGAAGCACATTATTAAAACTATCTACAGCATTTTGAACACAATATCTACATTTCAAAATTTCAGCTAAACAGCAACACATAAATCTTAGAGTTACAGCCTGGAAGTGAAATAAACAAACTATTGCTCAAACGTTTGAAAAGTAAAGCTATTGTTCTTAGGTACACTTCACATTCTTGCTTATGCTGATACATAAGGTGGTGGTGGGTCTTTACCAGCTGCATTTGCAGGATCGTCATAAGGCGGCAACAGCACCTGAGGAAAAGGGAAAACAAAATATATATATTTTTTGAAGTCAGCTGGCTAAAATTATAAGACAGGAATTTAGGACCGTGTTCTGCAAAATAATTAAATGACTAAATAAAATAAAAACTGCCTCAAGATTAGCAGTTAGCAAATAAAATATGATTAGTGAAATAGACAGGCCATTGCAATTTTATATTGTGTTTCCATTATGAAATGCAACTGAATTTTTTGTAATTTCTTACAATCCCTAATCACAACCCTAAACATGACAGCCCCAGAAGATGATTTTGACCATAATTTACTGATCAAATTTGCACAGCGTCAGTGACTGATTATATAGTAGCTGTACAGTAAAACTTCAAAGTGCACGACTGCTATTGGAGTTAGCCAGACTAGAGAGAAAATAATAATAATAATACTCAAATGAGGAATGTCTGCATATTTTCTAAAATATACCAGTATATCTTAAGGTAAAGACATACAAGAAAAATATAATACAAACACTTAACAGATTTAAACATGGGCTAAACATACCAGGAGTCAGCCATCAATCTCATGGGGCCTAGTAGGCCTACATCTTTCCAGCCCTTCCCCAGGGATTGGGACGCCCATTGGACAGAATGTTCTGTCCATTTTGGTGGATCAGATAGGCAGCCATAAGTCAGTTCAAGCTCACCCTTTTATACCAAAAGCCCTTTCTTTGTTTCTTAGTTTCTGGAAAACCCAGTCTGAGCCAGTATATGCATACTACCCCAGGGGGTGGAACTTCTCTGGACTTGTTTAGTCTCAGGGTACGTCTACACTACCCGCCAGATTGGTGGGTAGTGATCGATCTATCAGGGATTGATTTATCACGTCTAGTCTAGACGCGATAAAATCGATCCCCGATTGCTCTGCCGTCGACTCCGGAACTCCACTGCGGCGAGAGGCAGAAGCAGAGTCGACGGGGGAGCGGCAGCGGTCGACTCGCCGCCGTCCTCACGGCCAGGTAAATCGACCTAAGATACGCCGACTTCAGCTACGCGTAGCTGAAGTTGTGTATCTTAGGTCGCCGTCGCCCCCCCCCCCCGCCGCTAGTGTAGACCTAGCCTCAGTGAATGGCCTTAATCATCCCCTCCCCCCAACTGTTTTTTAGTTCATGTACAAGTTGTGGCAACTCTTCCCCATGGAGCAAAAAAGTCAGACATAAACCATTCATAACCATAATTCAATATTACAGTATCACAAGGATGTTAAGTATCAGAGGATGTTATGCATTAATGAAAAATAAGAATGAGGATGATGGACAACACCTGGAGGAAAGCAATAAATGCCAGAACAGCTGGGTCACTTAGGGTTTAAGGGTAACTTCATTACATTTCCTCGTTTACAGTAATACACGAAAAAAATATTTATATTACTTTAACTGTTTTGCTGCCAGTCACTTCAGCAGGTTACGGTGCTGTTTGAACAATCAGTAAACAAAATATCAATAAGCTGCACTTAAAGTTCTGAGTACCCATCAACTACTCTAATGTTACAAAGCTAACAATTCTGTAGCTTTGCAATAAATAAATAAATAAATAAACCCAACCAACGAAAACTTTCAAAATAGGGTAATTATAAATCAAGATTAGAATTCATCATTCTCTCCACAAAGGCTACTTAACATTTTAAGGCACAATGATAATAAATAATGCTACCAATAATAATTTAATAATTATAGACTTATGATGGAGACAGAAATTCAACTTAAACTATGGGGAGGCTTTCACCGCCCATAATAATTGAGGAAAAGCTAAAAGATTAAGTCTATTTCAGTCAAAGGGGACAAAAGTGCAGTACTTAACTATTTACAGAATAAATTACAAGATCTCAAAAAAAAAAAAAAAAAAAACAAAAAGAGGGGTTCAGATTCTGGTTGTTAGAATTAAAATCAATGGATTTACACCAGTGTAGCTTAGATACGAATCTGGCCCATAAATAGTTGTTTCTTACTTTTGTGTTAACCTTAAATCCTGACCCATTTTAATGGAAAGTGATAAATGCCTTGGACACAAAACAGTTCTGTTACTCAAGAAATTCCTTATGACCCCCAGAGGCTGTTATAGAAGAAGCTGGATTTACTTCACTCATCAATGAATTCAGCTACTGGGGAAATAGATGGAAGCTCACCACTCATAGCTGGTCTGCACTGCAAAATTAAGTTGGCTTAACTAGATCACTCAGGGCTGTGAAAAAGCCGGCCTACGTCCCTGTGTAGACACAGTCAGGTTAATGCAAGACTTCTTCTGGTGACCTAGCCATCACCTTTCAGAGAGGTGGATTTATTACAACCACAGAAGAACCCCTTTCATTACTGTAGAAAGTGTCTACACTACAGCTGTACACAGTAGCATGTCTAGTGTAGACATATCCTTAGTATTACACCATTTGAGCATCTAATAGAATATATATTTCCTACCGGGACCATGAAGGACAGAAGAAATATGTACACAGTTTAATATGATTCTTAGATTGTAAGTTCCTTGGGGCAGGGACCACCTTTTCCTTCTGTGTTTGTACAGTGCCTAGCACAATGGGGTCCTGGCCATGACTAGGCTTCTTAGGCACTATGGTAACATAAATAAACAAACAAACACACACCTCCTTCAATCATACACCCAGAATAAACATTTAGACCACTGATTTACTCTGTGCCCTCCTTGGGCAAGTCATTTACCTGCTCTTTGTTTATCTGTGACATGAGTAGAATGCCTACTTATCTCTCAGGGAAGAACTGGGGCTGAATTCATGTTTGTAAAGTGTTTTGAGATCCTTATATGAAAGATAAGTGTAAATGCAAAGTACAATCCCATTTTAATGAACCCTGCCTCTCCCTGTTCACTGAACTACTAGCATGTTACTGGTGGGCCAATACATGAGTTTAGAAGATTGGGAGTTCTGAAGGCTCCAACCTGTGGAGTTCATAATATTCACAGGAATGAAGCTCCTCAGTTCCTGCAAAATGCCTAAAAGAGCTCCACATGGATTTAGTTTTGGCCTGAGGAGCTTTTAACATCTGCATGGTTGACACTAATGGCAATATTTTGAAAAGAGCCCATCACATTGGGTGCTTACTGAAGTGCCTAGATGGAAGCTGAGCTCTGGCCCCCATTGCGGATGCTGAATCATTTTGAAAACTCTGGCCTAAATTCCTGCAGAACTTCTAAGATAAGAAGCTTCAGTCCAGCAAAATATAGGAGCCATACAGGACTGCAACTTGAAAACTCCATCGCCAAGCTTCTGATTATCCTAACTGGTGTCACCCTAGTTATTTGGGTAACTTGGATTCTGCTGTATTATATAAATAGGCTTGGCAGGCTTAGATTTTAATCGATAACTGTCAGTCAGTGTCAATTTCAGCTGACACATTGGTATTTTTTCATTTCATCAGTGTTTGCATCTTTACTCCTGGGGGAATTCTGCACCACTGTGCATGTGCATAATTCATGTGCAGTGTGTAATTTTTTTTCAGCAGAAAATAACTTCTTGCTGGAAAATTTCTGCAGTTATTCCTTTTGGCCACCAGGGGCTGCTGTGGCGCTAGAACAGAGCAGACGCTCCTGGGCCCTTCCCAGCTGTGACAGGGAAGAGAAGAGGCTGCCATCCTGAAGGCAGTGCCTTGCTAGTGGGCCAGGTCAGGAGACAGAGAATAGGGTGGGAGACAAACAGTGTGGGGCACATGGGGCTGCTGGGGGTGGGTCACAGACACGGATTCATAAGGGCTAGTGGGGGAGGACAGACTGGGGCAGGGGCTGAATTGGAGTGGAGGCACAGGGCCACATGGGGAAGGGGGGTGGCTGTGTGGGTGCACAGAGACATGTGGATGGGGGAGGGGGCGCAGGGACACATGTGGATATGAGGGCTGGCTGAGGGGGTGGAGGGACACATGGGGACAGAGGCAGATATGCCTGACTGAACAGGAAAGGCTAGGGGTCAGCCAGGGTCTGCATGGGGGAAGCTCCTTAACAATCCCTCTCCACCCCACAAAAAAGCCTGCTCCATATTTCTCCCACCCACATCCAACAACCCTCCATGTTCACTCTCAGGGTCCTTCCCTCTCCCTCAGCTCCTTTGTTACTCCTGATTTCCCCAAGCTTTTGCTCTGCTTCTGAGGGGTGCAGGAAATATGGTTCTATATTGTAATTTAAACGAATTACTCAAAGTTTTGTATTTATATGCCTAGTAAGGCATCTATTTGTCAAAACACATTTCTTGAATCTTTTTCATTGTCTGTATTGTTACAGACATACTTGCTGACAGGTATTTTGAAATAAATTACCAACATAATTGAAACTGGTGAGATTATATACTAGTGTTATTTTGACAAATAAAATATGCAGAATTTTGTAGAATTTTTAATATTGTGCACAGAATTTTTAATTTTTTGGCACAGAACTCCCCCAGGAGTACATCTTGCACTTCCAGGGATCAGGTGTCACTGGTCCTGTGGCCCTGCAGGGAGCACTCTGCAGCCCCGCTGACACGGGAGGGAGTGAGCGGGTCCTGAAAGCAGGGCTACAGAGGGCTCTATGCGCGGCCTCAGGGCCAGTGACACCCAATCCCTTCAGGCATAAGGTATGGGTGGAGGCTATGGTCCTGGTGGGGCAGAGCAGAGACTTCTGGCCAGAACGACAAGAAGGAGGAGGACAAGCCCCTGGCCACAGAGGAGGCCACTCCACTGCTGAATGGCTCCTGTGGCTGTGCAGGGAGCCTCTGCAGCCCCTCTGTCATGGATTTGCTCTCTCACTCACCACTGGCAGTGCTGGGGATCTCTGCTCTGCCCTGCCAGGACTACAGTCTTCCTTGTGGCTACAGGATCAGGTGTCACCAGCCCTGTGGCCATGCACGGAGTGAGGTTGCACAGCCGCAAAAGTAGAGCTGCAGAGGGCTCCCTCACTCCTGGGACACCCAATCTCTGTAGGCACAAGGTGTGGGGGAGTGAGGCTGCAGGCCTGGCCTGGCGGAGCAGACACTCCTGGCAAGGA